TATGCTCGGCTCTCGGGTTCTTATACCGAGCAGCTTAACGTCTAGATTATGCTCGGCTCTCGGGTTCTTATACCGAGCAGCTTAACGTCTAGATTATGCTCGGCTCTCGGGTTCTTATTCCGTAGCAGCTTAACGTCTAGATTATGCTCGGCTCTCGGGTTCTTATTCTGAGCAGCTTAACGTCTAGATTATGCTCGGTTCCAGTTTGCTGAAATCATTGATGATGTTCCAATTTATGTTATTATTGCTGCGATAAAGATGAAAAATTGAGAATTTACTCCAGAAAATGATTCACTGGGCACACTGCCTAAATATGTAGCAAATAAATAATCGTAACTAATAAAGTACTAATACGCCTATAATACATGATAAAAATCACTTTAACAGCATATGTTTTTTTTTTTTTCACAATCCTATTAATTTGTCCATTGTGGACTCAAAATCGTAGGCATGTAAAAACAGCATTTCAGATCTTAAACCGTAACTTTAAAGTATTATACCGCATGTATATAAATAGTGTTTCAGGGAATCTTTTGTCTCTCATCGTCCAATCCAAATGATGAGTTCTGGTATTGAGCGAAAGGCCTCTTGGGCAGTGACTTGTGGGAAAGGAAGATAGATCTGAAATGATAATTCTATACGCCCCTGTTCTTGAATCCACAATGGCTAATTTAAGAGGAATGTGAAAGAAAAAAATATCTGCAGTTACAGTGATTTTTGTCACCAATTTTAGGCCTATTTGTTTCTAATACTTCGCCAAATGAATTTATACAGGGTTAATCCAATGAACCAATTTCGTATTTGAGTAGTGCTGTTGACTATAATTCCGAATTTATGAAACATATCTTTGCGAAATTTGGCTAGTTTTTAGTCAACAGTAGAAATCATTTGTATATACAAAACATGCAGATGTATTACAAAAGTTTTGGTTCTAAAAATGTGGCCGTGAAATGCCGAAGTCTGTCTGATTCAGATTCTGACAAGTCAGAGCGCAAGGTGATGATGTTAATGTGAAGAATAAAAACTCTTTTGTTATCGTACAGTTTGCAATTTACATTTGCGTAACCTCTACATCCTCCTAACTATATTTCTAATGTGTTTTTTTTTTACCGTCTCTGTATATTGTGCCTGGTACTTTACTCTAACACGAACTGTTGCGAAATCAGGATTGTAGAGTAACACTAAATGTTACTAATTCTGACATCAAATGCACAGCCCCATGTTGAAAAGTACCCTATGTAAGGTCGGGGCATGCACACTTTAACCCATACAAATGAACACAGAGTTAAAGAGTATCTTCTAAAATACTGATATGTTGTACTAAATCACTTATATGGTGATAGAATAACATTTAGGTGATTATTTCAGAATCATTTTTTATAGTTTTCGTTTTTATTTTCTTAACACGTAGCCACTATTTTCGAGAACATTCTAAAAAAAAGATGTTGAAGAGCAACAACAACAGCGACTTTTGTTTCGTTATGAATTTCGCGCAAACCTACACGAGGGCTATCTGCGCTAGCCGTCCCTAATTTAGCAGTGTAAGACTAGAGGGAAGGCAGCTAGTCTTCACCACCCACCGCCAACTCTTGGGCTACTCTTTTACCAACGAATAGTGGGATTGACCGTCACATTATAACGCCCCCACGGTTGAAAGGGCGAGTATATTTGGTGTGACGGGGATTCGAACCCGCGACCCGCAGATTGCGAGTCGAGCACCCTAACCACCTGGCCATACCGGGCCAACATTTGTTTAAATTGGAAAAAATTTTTTCATAATAAAACAAGGAAGGAGTATTCGCATATATTTTTTGTATATTTTCTATTTTTAATTGAATTTGTAACGATTAAAGTTTTGTTAATATGATGTTTTATTGCCTTTACTTTAGAACTAAAGAAAGCAATATTTGCTACAAAAAAATATTTTTCTTTACTTTGGCATAATATCAAACTGTATTATTTTAGCTTATTAAAAGAATCTCCGTAAACCCGGATGAAGAAGTTGCCAAAGGCCAAGAAAAACAAAACTTTCAGAGTGCGTCTCTTGTCGCTGAGGTTTCCAGAGGTCAGTATTTATTATTCTACATGTCAAACATTCGTGTAAACATTGTTTTAGTAAAATCAGTCGAAAAATCACGATTTATACTCAACATTTATTAAAACTCATTTTTAATGTAAATGTGGTTTGGGTTATAAACGCTTACAGTTCGATTTTTCATTCTTTCGTGGAATTCAGTTATGTTTTAATAAAGCATGGTTCAGATATTTTATCTTCTATTAATACATAAAAGTTCCGGTCATTCAAAAACATCTAGCAT